TACAACTCGATAGTCCAGTGACTGTTAGAACGTTTCTCTACAAACACACCCCACCCACCCTTAAGTTCTGCTCTACCCTATTGCAGTTTGGAACTGACCCCCAGCTTCCCCTACAGTTAGCTCCACGCTGGTCCAGGATGAAGTCTACCCATCGCTGTTGGAAGCACAAGGAAAGCTAACTTTTCTGACCTCCTCTCCTAGCCTCAGCTCTAAAGACCAGACCAGGGAAGGAAGCAGCCCTGAGCACATAACCCAAAAGTGGCACCGTTTCAGCAGTTTCTAAGGGAGAATGTTGGCATGATTGATGTTAAATTGATCGTGGAAAGACCTTAAAAGAAGGAGGGAACCATGTAGAGAAGCTCATCAAATGGGGAGCATTTTGTTAAACGTGCTTAATTCTTTGCCATCAGCTCTTTAAATTGAGTAGGAATTATCATTCCTCCCCATCCCTGGGTCCAGAACACACTTCGTGGTCTGGTCTAAGGTTCTTTCCCAATTTTTTACCACAGTAGCTCTAAGAGAACAGGACAGATACAAGGTCTAGAGTGTTATGAGGATAGGAAGCCTCACCCAAGTGATTACCAGAGTCCAAACTGTCTTTAAGTTCTGCAAACCATAAGGCTCATTTCCATGATTATTTGGCAATAAAGGTTCCCTCCCGCCCCCGACTTAGGTCAAAGATGAACAAAGCTGGACACCAGATAAAGTGGTAAGGACAGTTTTAATCAGCATTATGCTATTGCAGCAGGATGCAGTCCAGCTTTTAACTTTGATTTGTGTTGAGGTGGTGCAAGGGGAGGGCTATTTTAAATTTTTTTTTTCAACGTTTATTTATTTTTGGGACAGAGAGAGACAGAGCATGAACGGGGGAGGGGCAGAGAGAGAGGGAGACACAGAATCGGAAACAGGCTCCAGGCTCTGAGCCATCAGCCCAGAGCCCGACGCGGGGCTCGAACTCACGGACCGCGAGATCGTGACCTGGCTGAAGTCAGACGCTTAACCGACTGCGCCACCCAGGCGGGGAAAGGCTATTTTAAAGAGAGAATGAGGGGGTCGCCTAGGTGGCTCAGTCAGTTAAGCAAGGGACTTTTGATTTCTGCTCAGGTCATGATCTTACAGTTGGTGAGAGGCCCACGTGGTAATGTGTGCTGACAGCTCGGAGTCGGCTTAGTAGTCTCTCTCTCCCTCTCACTCTGCCCCCCCCCCGCTTGCACTCTAAATAAATAAACAAACAAACAAACACACTTAAAAAAAATAAAATGAAGACAGAGTGAGGGGACAGGGAGGGGTGAATGAGGGCTCAGTAGAGTCCGAGAGGTGAAAAATGACAAAACCCAGGACGGGAGAGTAAGTGAGTCACCTGGGACTGTTACCAGCCTTGTAGAAGTTAGGCTCCTACAGACCCTGGGAGACAGAGACCCTACTATCAGATGTAGGCTGGAACCAGCAGTAAATCCTAGGGATGTGGCCTTGAACTGTTAGAAACTGTGTTAGTGTTTTGTTCAAGTCTTTATGGGCCGAGGAAGGGACCCAGTAGACAGGGCTCATAGCAGTCTGGGCTGAGTGTGGTCAAGAAGTAACTCTTTGTCACTTCCTAGTGACATTGTTTACTAACCGCTCTCTCTCCCCCCCTCGCCCCCCACCCCCACCCCAAAGTCTACAGGAAGGATCCAAAAAATAGAACTCAAGAGGCATCTTGTTTCCCTGGAGCCCACCGCGCATCTGTCTCTGAAGAGCCTCGGGATTTACAGCACACCACAGAAATTAAGGGAGACTAATTTGCAGCAGGATCTTTTTCAGGTTTAAAAAAACTCCACACAAACACGCGATGGCGCTCTTTAAACCTTAGCAGACCCGACCTGAGGCCGCAATCAGCAGAGAACTACAACTCCCAGCAGCGCCGGCGAGTGAAAATTACCAACTTCCGGGGACTGTTTCCCGTGGGTCAGCTGCTCCAGCTCCACCCGCGCCATCGGAAGGCAGCACAGTATGCAGGCGGGAGGCGGCGGCCGGGGTCGCGGAGTCGCGGGGTCGCGGTGTCTCAGGGTCGGGGCCGCCATCGCTTCCACGAGGAGCGAGGCTCACGTCCCGGAAGTGGAGGCCAAGAGAAGCGGCGCCGGCGTCGCGGAGGGGCGTTCTGGCGTCACTTCCGCTGGGGCGGGGCCTCGGGCTCTCCCGCGCAAATTGAAAAGTCTTTGGTGCCCGGCTGCCACCCGGCCCTCTGTGTTCCGAGCCGCCTGCCTCGGGCGAGCTGGCCCAGGGTGAGTTGGGCGCGTCGGGGGTGGGTTTCGGAGCCCCTTCACGGCTCCCTTGGGGCGGACGGGGAGAGCCCTGCCCGGAGAGGGAGCGGAGCGGGCTACGCGTGGGCCCTGGGTGGCGTCCTCTCGGGACTCCTGTCTTCCAGCACGGGGGGGATGGGTCCGGCGAGGTCTTCTCGGCCCGGCCGCAGAGTCCCGAGTGCACATCGCGGTGCGGGCCGGCGCGGGGCTGCCCTTCGGGAGGGCAGAGAGGGTCCGCGGGCGCAGGCTCCTGCGTGCGGGACTCCTGCAGGGCTGCCGCCGACCTAGCAGTCTCCCCCGGCGTTTAAATGTGGAAAGTGAACTGTCTTCTTGATGTCGTGCAGGCGAAAGGAAGCGTGTTCTCTGGAATGGGCTTGCGGGCCGCTTGTGCACAGCCTGTGAACGGGAGTGGGGCGGCGAGGTCGCCGGTGTTGTAGCTGGAGTGCCGCTGGCGGGCGCCCTGAGATGATGCCTGCGCGGCGGCCCCCGGCCATTCCCACCACGCTCCAGAGGAAACGTTTATGCGAGCGTATTTACCCAGCTTAGAAGACACATCAGCTTCACGGAATGTGTGTTCCGTCAGTTTTCTTCAAAGTGGAAGAGAACTCTTTTTAGAGGCATTGTCTGAGAGGTGGGAGGCTGATTGTTTTTCTCAAACTGCGGCTTGAGGAGCACCTGCAGCCAGATTACCTGGATTTAAACGTCGGAATCCCCCCACCTGGCTCCGCAGCTGGTGAATGCGCTGCTGAACTAGAGCATCCGAGTTTTGATACAGCATCAAGGTGAGGCTGACTTGCCACCCTGTGCCTTCTTACTTTCCTTCCAAATGTAGTTTGGTGGGAGAGGTTGATGTTAGGAAACACCAAGCAGCTGTTCAGCCTCCTTGCTTTCAATTTTTATCATGAGGAGTGGGAGTGGGGGGGTGGGTAGGCCGGCTGACGCTTGAACAACAGGGGATTGAACTGTGAGGGTCCACGACAAACAGATTTTTTTCGATACAGTACGGTACTGGTGAAGTTCCTGGGTGATGCTGCGGTGGTCCAGAGCTGATGGCCAAGAAAGAATTCTTGAAGAAGTCTTTGGTACAAAAAGATGATTTTATTGAAGCACAGGGACAGGACCCATGGGCAGGAAGAGCTGCACTGGGGTAACTTTGGGGGTAACTGATTATATCCCCTCAGGTTGGGAGAGGGTTAAGGATAGGGTAGGTCTCTAAGGAATTTTGGAAGCAAGGTTACCAGGACCTTGAGCTGCTGTTAGGAAAATGCCATTAATTACTGCAGTAATACCTGGGATTAGTAAAACCTGGGACCCTTCAGATGCATGGCAGGGGAGGTCATAAGCTTGGAGTATGATTGCCAGCATATATCTTGGGGGAGTTGAGATGAAGGACGTTTCCCAAGGAATTTTTATGCTAAAGTAAACTGACAGTGGCCTCCAGGTTGGGATAATGTTAAGCTAAGATTACCTTTTGCCCCTAGGAAAGATTACCTTTTGTCATCATCAAGGCAGCTGAGCTCCTTTACTGTTTCAAGGACTTGTCAATGGTCTGTAAGCAGTAAGGGGATTTAATTTTTCATTTGCCTTAGTTTCCCACATCACCATGGCAAGCACTTACACCCCTTTCCTTTGTTCTTGGGTAGCCAGGAGGTCTGAGGAATATCACACATATTCCACCTGGTGGGGGTGGGGCGGGTGCTAATAGCCTGTACTTAGCCCTCAGCTTGCCCCACACCCCCTCGTCAGTACTGTAAGTGTGGCTTATGGTTTTCTTAACATTTTCGTCTCTCTAGCTTACTATAAGAATACAGTATATAACACATGTAACATATGAAATATATGTTAACTGACTTTATGTTATTGGTGAGGCTTTAAGTTTGGGGGGAGTCAAAAGGCATATGTGGATTTTTGACTGGGTAGGGGTGGGTGCAAATAATCCCCCTCCTTGTCCAGAATTTCTGTATAGAAGGGACTTAGGGGCTTCTTTCTGGGCGGGACGGGGTAGGAAGTGAAAGAAGCATTCGTCTGAAATTTTGCACAGCAAGCACACTTTCACATTTCTTTGGAGTAACTTTCAGAGAGTCTGATGGAGTTGTCGCTGGGCACCATTGCTGCTTATTAACAGAATGTTGGTTGCTTGGAATAAGACATTCTGATGGCAGTGAATTTAAGTCCTAAAAATGTACCAATTTACTTCTGTAATTCTGCTTATTTTCTCAATTGAAATGTCTACTTTCCTTCTCTTTGGAGTTTCCACTCCTACGCTGATGTGCATGCTGGCTCTTAACATGCTTGTGTAGAGGCAGTGTGATGCCTTAGCATGCACGGTTTTGTGGCTTTTAGCAATGCCTTTTTGGAGAGAGAGAGAGAGACTCATGCTCTTTTAGCACTTTCTGTGTGCCTAGTAGTGTGTTAACAGCTTGAAACATACATGATGATTCCAAGTGAGAAAGCACTTTGGAAAGAATAAATGTTAAGGAACTATCAAGTGACATTAGAGTTAGTGTTAGAGATTAGCGAAAGTATTCTAGATTATGGAAATTGTTGGCAGGGAGGAGCCCAATTGAGTATTAAAGAGGTGATTCTCAAATAAGCAATAACAGTCGCTATATCAATTTCTGATCTCTTCTTATTTTTCTAAACCTTTTGGATAAATATGTTTTGCTTTAAATATTGCTGTTTTCCCTTTCTCCCCTCGTATCATGCAGTTAACTTGGCACAATGGGGATACAAGGATTGCTGCAATTTATCAAAGAAGCTTCTGAACCAATCCACGTGAGGAAGTATAAAGGACAGGTAGTAGCTGTGGATACATATTGCTGGCTTCACAAAGGAGCTATTGCTTGTGCTGAAAAACTAGCCAAAGGTGAACCTACTGATAAGTAAGTCTGCACCTTGTATTAACTCTTTGCCAGTTAAGACTGAGACTTATATTAAATATCCTTTTGTTTATAGATGAGGGAAGTTGTGATGTAGCTCTTTTTGTCCAGTTAATTGCTTTGCCAGAATAGAGCACTAAATGCAATACCTGATCCTTGTTTGGATCCTGGACCGTTGCAGGGTAGGATGTAGCAATGCTGTGCTGCAGCCAACTCATCCAAGTTCACAGTGCACCACCGTCTTCTCCCAGTTCAGCATTCCGTGACCCCGCATTGGTAGTTTATCCACCGTTGTAATACATTCATGTCAGGGAAATGGACAGATGCTACGGAACAGGCACCTCCTCTTGCCAAACCGGTTGTTAAATCTTCACCAGAACACACTGGTTATAAGAGCTGTTGAGACAGTTGGACAAAGTTTAGTACAGACTGTATGTGAGATGATATTTTGTTGCTGTTAAATTTCTTGGGTGTGATAATGGTATGGTTGAAGGGATCAGGTATTTATTGTACTATTCTTTCAACTTTTCAGTAGATTTGAAATTTTTCAAAGCAAAAAAAAAAAAAATGGAAAAAAGGCAAGATTTGGAACCACAAAACATCAGAACTGGAAGGGATGTCAAAGCCTTTTAATCTGTAGATGAGAATGTCAATAACTCATCAGCTGTCACATAGCCCGTTAGGATCCAAGGCAGGATTTGAACCCTGAAGCCTAAATTAGAGTTTTCATGTCCTGTGAAAACATTTTGCTTTAAAAAAAGAAAAGAAAGAAAAAAAACTTCCCTGTTCATAATCCATCTCCTCTGGTTTTAAAGAGTATTACTTTATAATACGCAATGCACCTAAAATTTTTTTTTCTTTATTTTCATAGGTATGTAGGATTTTGTATGAAATTTGTAAATATGTTACTCTCTCATGGGATCAAGCCTATTCTTGTATTTGATGGATGTACTTTACCTTCTAAAAAGGAAGTGGAAAAGTCTAGAAGAGAGTAAGTTGATTCTCTATTCACTCTAATTGCGTTAAGGTCTGATGCTATAGTCTATACCAATTTTCTTGAATTTTAATTTATTGAGGCTTGCTTCATAGCCTAGTACTTCAACAAATTTCTTGAAGTGTTTCATGTGTGCTAGAAAGGAATATGTATTTTCAGTTATTAAGAGGAAGATTGTCCAGTAAGTCAAACTTATTGATTATGGTGCTCAAATCTATCTTTGTTGTTTTGTTTGGTTTTGTTCGTGGGGGGGTGGGGGTAGTGGAATTGTCAATTACCTTATAGTTCTGATCATTTTTGTTTTATTTTGAAGCTATTTTATTGGTTGCATTCAAGTTTAGAATTAGTTACATTCTTGTGGTAACTATTTTACTAGTGACTCTTAGTCCCTAGTTTTGATTTTTTGTTCTAAAGTCTTCTGTCCGATTATAACCGTAGCCATAACTTTTCCTTCTATATTCCCACTGTCTTTTTTTATTTGTTTACCTACAGCTTACTACTTCATTGGTTTTAAGGTTTGTCTCTTACAAAGAACACATTACTGTGTTTTGTTTTTGTTTTCTTATCCAGTCTGTCAATCTTTGCCATTTTTTGAAAAAAAAAAATTTTTTTAAGTTTATTTATTTATTTTGAGGGAGACAGAGCACGAGCAGGGAAGGGGCAGAGACAGAGAATTCCAAGCAGGCTCCACGCTGCCAGCACAGAGCCAAATGGCAGGGCTCAAACTCCTGAAACTGTGACATCATGACCTGAGCTGAAACCATGAGTCAGACTACTCAACCGGCTAAGCCACCTAAGTGCCCCTGAAAATCTTTTAAATGGAGAGTTTATTCTTTTCACATTGACCATTAATTACTAATATATTTTAATACATTGTTTCTCTTGGTATTTTATATTTGTCCATCTCTCTCTTTTTTTGGGGGGGGAGGTTAACCCCTACCTTGCTTGACTTCTGGATTGTTTTTTCTACCTTTATTGTCTCTTGTTTCTAGTTGAAAAGTAATGTCTTCTATTTCCCTTAATAGTTAACCCAGAAATTTTATCATTCATGTTTAACTTCACAGATTCTAGTAAGTTTCTAACAACAGGCCTCAGAAAGAACTTCTGTATTTTAATAAAACAGGTATCCTCCCCATATTCATTTGCTCTCATTTGTCCCTCCCCCCACACCCCCCCTCGCATCTGTGTTTCTAGGTCCCAGAGTCCTTGTGTTGTATAGGAAAGACCCCTGGGCTTAGTTGTCAGAGCTAGTGTGAATCACACCCAGACAGAAGTAAGCCTCGCTGAGGGAGCCATCTGTTAGGGTGCTGCTGTCCTGGCTGTGCTCTCTCTCGGCCTAGATAGGTTAGAGAGTTTTTCAGACCTAGGTTTTGGAACCTAGCTGTACTTGGAGGGCTCTGATTCACATACAGAGTCAGATCAGTTTCACACTGGAGGGTTCTGATTCTTAAAGCCAGAACTTTATAAAGACTGTTTATAAAGGAATAACTGAAACTGTGTGAGCCCACGTTCTATTACAAATAATGTACAGTTTACCAAATATACTCTCAATAAAAGTTAGTTCATTCTAGGTTAGTTCTGAAAGGATTGGTGACAGACCTAAACCAGAGCGGCTGAGAGACTAGTCCAAACCACATCCTACCCGGGTGTCGCCCACCGGGTCTTAATTCTAATTGCAGATACTTACTAATTTTCTCTTGCTAAGCTCAAGAATGGCTAAAAACATGTCTCAGCTGCCTGTCTCTGTCCTGCATATTCTTTTTGTCTTTGTAAGATCAGCTTTTTCTGTGCCATTGTAGCAGTGGGAGGAGGCACTTAAAATCCTTTCCTACAAGTCTCTTCCTCCATGAGCCCAGTCTGTGCAACTAGGGAATTTGTATATGTATGCGCACATTTACTTAAAGATAAAAACCTCATAAGTTCAGACTGATTCTTCCAAGTCAAACTCAGGACTCAGGGTTTTTACCTCTTCTGCAGTGTATCTTCACCTCCTTTCTTCATACCTAGAATCCTTATTTTCAAGGGTAAAGGGATGATGAAGTTGGAGTATCTTATAATTACTCATTTGTTCTATCCCAAAGTAAATGCACGTATTTTATTATACTCAAGAATAGATTCAGAATAAAATACTGATACCCGTACCAATATGATTATTGAAAACGGTTAAAATTTCTTTCTCCTTTTGCATATGCTTTCTTCCCACTTAAAAATAGTGGTTCCATATTGTTAGAATGTGTGTTATCACTGTCTCTCTGTTTAACCTGTATTTAGTATTCTACAAATTACCACATACTTGATTATTATTGACAGTTTTTATGCAGATGTTATTTTGGTTTTTCTGAAATTTGTTGTCTAGTAGATTCCACAGAAAAGCTCAGAAACAGTATTTCTCAAGTTCTTTATATGTCCATAAAGGTGCACCCTTTATACTTAAAAGTTTTGATGGTATAAAACCCTTGACTCATATTTTCTTAAGTGTCTTAATTACTGCATTTTCCCTTGACATAAAGCGTGATGTAAAAAAGTCTGAGGATACGCTTGTGTGTGCGTACATGATAAATCACCTGTGTTCTTTTTGACTCGAAGCCCAAAAGATCCAGATTAATGTTCTCAAGCACCTGGTACACACTGTCCAATGAGTCAAAGTTTATTTTTTTTCCCCTAGGAAAATTTCTTGAATTTCTTGAAGTCAGCCTCTTACTATTTTTTTTTCCCCTTGCAGAAGACGACAAGCCAATCTTCTTAAGGGAAAGCAGCTTCTTCGTGAGGGGAAGGTTTCAGAAGCCAGAGAATGTTTTACCCGTTCCATCAATATCACACATGTGATGGCCCACAAAGTCATTAAAGTAAGCCCAATAGGAAATGAAGCCAAAGAGAACAAATGGCCAACTTCATCGAAGCTAGTTATGAGTTGTATATTGATGGGAGAGCAAGAAAATGAAGGGAGGGAAATTACTCTCGGTCTAACTCAAGGAAGTGGCAGGTCTCAGGAAGAGGAAGCGGGATCTTTTGACAGAGAAGAGTCCAACAGTCTCCAGGGGGAGAAATCCTAAGGACTAAGAGACCCTCTCCCTTTTTAGATAAGTGACTTAGATGAGCTCCATGGGCACCTTGTTCTGTAGAGACGGAAGTGTTAATTCCTGGAGCATCAGTCTCACCCCACTGCCCTGTAGTCTTCAACATGTATAACCTTCACAACTGTAGGCCGTCAGGTCTGTAGAACCAGCCTCACTGACTCCGGAACTCTCCGACCCTAGTCTTCCTCAATCAGCTTCTGCTTAAAAGCATCTTACAACCATAGACCTACTTCAGTGGCCCAAAGTCCCAGCCCTCACTTACCCTCCTTCAGGCCTCTGTTCAAACTGCTTGGTAAACAAATAGGAAAATAAATATAGTGATTAAATTCTGTAGTTTTATCAAAACAGTGTCAGGTAGACTTCTGTAGTGTGAAAAGAAAATATATTTTCGTAGGGAAAATACATCCAGAGCTCCAAACAAATGTCTTGTATGCTTTTGGAGCATAGCCATTCTGAAGATGCAAGCTTTCTACAACTTGAAATAATTAAAGTTTTCTGGCTTCTGTTTTTTTTTTTTTTTTTCTCCCTCTGCATGTACAGCTATTTTCTCCAAATTTATAAAGTGATTTTTTAAAAAAGAATTTTTTAAATTCTTTGTGGCTATATGATTAGTTCAATATTTGCTAGGACTAAAAGTAGAAACACTTCAAAGGAAATGATTTCTGAAAACAATTATCAGCATGTGCATGTTGAGGCTGGTAGTAAAACGGGAAATTGTTCAGTGCTCTCCAGATGCCATCCTGGAGATTGACCATGATCCTCTCTGGCAGGCTGCCCGGTCCCAGGGAGTGGATTGTCTCGTGGCTCCATACGAAGCAGACGCGCAGCTGGCCTATCTTAACAAAGCTGGTATTGTACAAGCCATAATCACAGAGGACTCTGATCTCCTCGCTTTTGGCTGTAAAAAGGTACTTTACTACTTCATACTGTTTTCTGTGCAGTTGGCAATGGTGTAAATCAAGGCACTAAGGTTTTTCTTTTCCAGGAATCATCACTTTATTTTATTTAATACCTGCAGTTAATATCTACTTTACAATGTTAATAATTATTTTATTTAAAATGCAGGGTTTTGGGGCGCCTGGGTGGCGCAGTCGGTTAAGCGTCCGACTTCAGCCAGGTCACGATCTTGCGGTCCGTGAGTTCGAGCCCCGCGTCAGACTCTGGGCTGATGGCTCAGAGCCTGGAGCCTGTTTCCGATTCTGTGTCTCCCTCTCTCTCTGCCCCTCCCCCGTTCATGCTCTGTCTCTCTCTGTCCCAAAAATAAATAAACATTGAAAAAAAAAAAATTTTAAAATGCAGGGTTTTGCTGCTTGACATTTGTGTAATCTGGACACTTTTTCAGAGTAAGCCCTTACGGTTAAAAGGTTTTGTTTTATCCGAATTCTTCAGTAGAGTGTAGACTTGCTATTCTTATTTTTGGTAATAATTTATATGCTTTATTTTTTTTCAACTAGGTGAGGTAAATAACTTACCTAACAGGATGTTTTGCAGTTACTTAGAATTATGTATAAAACTGTTTAATGGAAAATTTTATCATGACATAGTAAGGGAGGATTAAGATACAAAACTATAAGATCTCATTTTTGTTACTGCCAATGTTATTCATATTATCTATATATTTTATAGATGACTAGAAGGATCTGTTGAAGGGTTAATGTTGGGTAACAGTGACAAATGAGAGGTGTCAGGCAACTTTGGTTTCCTTCTTCCTGAATTTCCGTTTTCCAAATTCTCTACAATGAACATGTATTACTCTAAGAGAAAGGATTTCTGTATGGATTGTTATTTGATCGCCATGACAACTCTGAATGTCAGTAGGGGGTAAGAGACACTCTTTCTACCAGAGTCAGGGCAAGGGAGTCCTGGTGCAGGACCCTATCTAGACATAGTGTATGTTTCAGTTTAATTTATTTACAAATTGCACAGTGATTACCTGGCCTGTCTCTCTTCTCAATGTGATGCTAAATAACAAGAAAGAATTCTTAGGAATATTACAATGGGTTAGATCACGAAACATTAAAATGACCCTTACAGGTACTTAGGTATTTAACAATTTCCCTTCCTTTTGAAGGTGATTTTAAAAATGGACCAGTTTGGAAATGGACTAGAAATTGACCAGGCTCGGCTGGGAATGTGCAGGCAGCTTGGGGACGTGTTCACCGAGGAGAAGTTCCGGTATATGTGCATACTTTCAGGCTGTGACTACCTCTCCTCACTGCGTGGGATCGGGTTAGCAAAGGCCTGCAAAGTGCTCAGACTAGCCAATAATCCGGATATTGTAAAGGTGGGAGTGATTTGATTCACCAAGTGCCATATTCAGTTTCCAAACCATTTCTTCCATCATAGATACACCCCTCAGAATATGAATTTTAAATATTCTATCCTGTCAACAGCCCATGTTGTGTCATTGAAAGGAAAAAATGACCAAAACACTAGAATTTTGTTTTTGGCAACTGATGAACCTGTTTTAAGCAATTGACAAATTTTTTAAATGAAGACTTATATAAAGAGACTTAAGGGTAAAGTGTTCTAGATAAAATTAATGTTAAAATTATCTTTCAGTTTCTGTCCTATTGTCTGTTGTAAGTGGTTCTCAAACTTTTTGGTCTCAGGATCCACTTACGCTCTTTTTTTTGTTTGTTTTTTTAATTTTTTTAAGTTTATTTATTTATTTTGACAGAGAACAGAGCACACAAGCAGGAGAGAGGCAGAAAGAGAAAATCCCCAAGACTTTGCGTGCTAGCAGCACAGAGCCCGATGTGAGGCTCGAAGTCACAAACTGAGATCATGACCTGAGCCAAACTGAGATCAGCCAAACTGAGATCATGACCTGAGCCAAAGTCAAGAGCTGACACTCAACTGATTGAGCCACCCAGGCGCCCCACCACTTACACTCTTAAAAGCTCTTCGTGGCAATAATTTTTGTTTAATGGGTTATAGCTATTGATATTTACTGAATGAAATTCAAACAAAACTAAAATGTTTATTAATTTAAAATTAACAATAATAAATTCATGGGGCACCTGGGAGGCTCAGTCAGTTAAGTGTCCAAGTCTTAATTGCAGCTCAGGTCATGATCTCATGGTTCGTAAGATCAAGCCCCACATCGGGCTCTGTGCTGACAGTGCAAAGCCTCTTTGGGATTCTCGCTCTTGCTCTCACTCTCAACATATATAGCATATTCTAAAGAAACAGCCGTGTCTTCTAAAAACATGAAAATGACAGGAACTGCACATTTATGTAAATCTCTAACATGGCTTGATAGGAGACAGCTGAGTTCTCGCATCTACATCCTCATACAATCTGATGCAATATCATGTGCAGGGTATCCTCTGGAAAACTGAGACTCCTACATCACCACTCTGTCATTTCCCAGATAGCTTTACCTTAAAAAATAAGTATATGTTAAGCTAATTTCCACCACCAGCCTCGGGCAGTTCTCATCAGGAGTTGGTAGTAGAGCCGGGAATGGAGCCCTGGGCACTAACTAGCCTGTGACTCCCGGGCCTCTGAGTCTCACTCTCTGGCTCTTCACCTGTGAGTGTGATGCGATGGTGACTCCATTTTTAATTCTCAGGTTTTGTGTGTTGTTTGCTTTTTTAGATAAAAGGGACTTTGAGGGTGAGGAATGTGTCTTAACATCACACATGGGAATATAAACTTGACGTTGTAACTGAATTGTTCATTCTTTGGGTTAATAGAAAAATCAAAGAAGATACTGTCATAGAGACAGTTTTTAGTACTGCAACATGATTGTGTTTTCTGGTAGAGGTTTTTAATGTAGATAAAATTAGTTGATTTTCTGTCTCGCCTCAGCCTCCTGTAATGTGAACCAGTTGGTCCTGGAGATGATACATTCCCTATTCTGTATTTGTAGATAACCAGTAAATATTTTTACATCCATTATTAGGTCATCAAGAAAATTGGACACTATCTTAAGATGAATATAACGGTACCAGAAGATTACATCAAAGGATTTATTCGGGCCAACAATACCTTTCTTTATCAGCTAGTTTTTGATCCCATCAAAAGGAAACTCATCCCTCTGAATGCATATGAAGACGACATTGATCCTGAAACACTGAGCTACGCTGGGCAGTATCCTTTCTGAACCAGAATAGAATTTTGTATTTCTTTCTTATTTTTATGGAGATATTTTTAGTGAAACATTCAGTAAAAAGCCTGTAAATTGTTTTCTGCTTTCTTTTTTATAGTGAAGCCTATCTTTTGTTAACTTTTTTTTTTTTTTTTTTTTCAACCTTTATTTATTTTTGGGACAGAGAGAGTCAGAGCATGAACGGGGGAGGGGCAGAGAGAGAGGGAGACACAGAATCGGAAACAGGCTCCAGGCTCCGAGCCATCAGCCCAGAGCCTGACGCGGGGCTCGAACTCCCGGACCGCGAGATCGTGACCTGGCTGAAGTCGGATGCTTAACCGACTGCGCCACCCAGGCGCCCCTCTTTTGTTAACTTTAAATACCATGCTGGTAAATTTAGAGCAGCTTTTTGTTTATAACTTGCTAATTACTTGGGTTGACTTGACAGAAACATGTACCGAGTCAGTCACTTAAGGTACCCATGGCAAGGGCGGCATTTCTCGACAAACAAGCTCGATTTATTAGGAGGGCCGTCCTGGGCACGTGTGCACACCGTGTGCCCTGCTCCTAACCCGGGCTACATACACTCAGTGTGGTTCAGAGCCCTGGGTCACGTATGTGATCTACTAGTGACAAGTAGACACTAGTGAACGACACCTGTGGTTTCAGGAATGCTGAAGGTAGAAAGTCAGGATCTGCTGGAGCCCTAAACCTGAGCATTTTCTGCAACGATAGGAAACACTTTTCTATCGTAGTTATATTCATTTGGTTGTTAATGAAAGCATTTTTCCTTAATCTTACCAACCTAGGTATTTTGATGATTCCATAGCTCTTCAAATAGCACTTGGAAATAAAGATATAAATACTTTTGAACAGATCGATAACTACAATCCAGACATTGCTACGGTAACGTCTTAATGAGTTTTTTTTTTTTTTAAGTGACTTCACTTTTAGAGAGCATGTTTTAGTTATGTCTTAGGAACTGTGACTAAAGGCAAATCTTCATGTAATAAACATCTTCTAAGGATTGCTGTATCCCAGCTGTTTGCACAGTGTGGGTTTAAAACAACTTCATGCTAGAGAAATTGTCTGTCTTAGAACATAGGTAGATTGGTTAATTTCCTTAAGTTAAAAAGCAACCACATGATATATTACCAGACCTTTAGATGTGAACATTTCTTTTGTGTCTACAAGCCTCTTCTCATCCCACGCCATTCGCCTCTGGCCTTTGGCATTTTGAAGATTCAAACCTAGCAATGCTACCATTGGAAGGAAAAGCTGGTTTTTTTGCTCAATGAGCAAATATTGAGTGCCTCTGAGCTCTGTCCTTGAGCCCCTCCATGTTTTCTTCTACTTTTTCCGGTTGTGTATATCCCTTCTGACAACCTCCCCCCCCCAACCATTCTCTCCTTTCTCTGTTCTCTTTTCTGTTCATATCTATTCCTAAAATAAGTTCAGATGGCTTTACTTATGCAGAAACCTCGCACATCTTTAACCCTATCTCCAGTCTAGTACCAGCCACGTAATTCTGAATGTTTCTTGGATTTCTACATAAATGTTTTCCTAGAACCTTAAATCCATCCACAGTCAAGAACAAACTCTTTGGGGAGCCTGCGTGACTAGTCAGTAAAGTGTCCGACTTTGACTCAGGTCATGATCTTGTGGTTTGTGAGTTCGAGCCCTGCGTTGGACTCTGTGCTTATATCTCAGAACCTGGAGCCTGCTTCAGATTCTGTGTCTCCCTCTCTCTCTGCCCCTCCTCCACTCATGCTGTGTCTCTCTCTCAAAAATAAACACGAAAAAAATTAAAAACAAAAAACAACTCTTCATTCCTTATCAGCTTTCCTTAATAACATTTCTCCTTTTTCTTTTCTAGCACTTTTCACTACATAAATTACATCTCAATACTTGACTTTGTGAGTCTTCCCAGCAGAGTGCAATTTTCATAAAGGCAGGACATTAAGAACTTCGCTGCTATATTATTTTTACCATGTTTATCTATGGAAGGAATGAATATCAGCTACATGATCTCTTTCATTGCTAAGTCCTTTTGCTTTTAAGTTGTCCTCCTGAAGGATAGTTTCTTCTCTCACAAAGCTTCTGGTCTAATCCAGGTCTTCCCACCCTTGCTCACTAATTCAGTTCCTGACTTAGCATTTATTAAGCACTGTAATTAGCATAGGTTAGCTAGTGTTCTGGAATATAAACAAAAATAAAATCTAATTCTTCCTCTCTGGTGCTCATTCCTTAGGGGAGGGAGACGTGGTTATATCGATAGAAATAAGGTAAATTCTGTAGTAGAGATGTATGCTAGGCTCCATGAAAAAATAAAAAGACCATGCACCTAACTCCACTGGAGAGAATTCTTCATAATAATAGTAGCAAACATTTACGGGGCATTACTATGTTCTAAATACTATTCTAATAACCTTACGCATAGTGACTCATTTACTCTTCAACAAGCCTGTGAGGTCAATATTATTATTCCCATTTTACAAATGAAGAAACAACAAGACAGAGGTTAGGGAAGTTGCCCAGATCACACATTTAAATAATTGGGGAGTTAGGATCCCAGGCCAAGCTTTGCTGTCTCCTTGTGGAGAAACACGTGTCCTGGGTTTGCAAATGTCAGTGGGGATTTTCAAGATGATGAGTGACTACAGGTTGAAGCATGGGTGGAAGAGGGTAGTAAGCAGTTCATTATGGATGGCCCAAGAATGTCCTAGTGTTCCATGTGAAGGAAGCAGAGGGCCTTGAGAAAGAAAAAGAGGTGAGCCTGGAGAAGGTGGCCGCTGATAAACTGGCGACCAGTTGAGCGTTGAAAAGAAATCATTACTGTCAGCTGAAATAAACCAAGCCTACCAAGAGGACACAAATCCCTAATGCTACTAGGAAAGAACCTTATGTTGATCATCTCAAATCATGTAAACCTTCTTTGTTTTCCTAGAACCTCTCTATTAATTAGATGTTATTTCTTAGTCCTCTAGTTTTTCTTATTCATGTCTTTGTCCTTTGTTTTTTTCTGGGAAACATTTGTCTTCCAACTTTGTACTATCCAGTGTAGTAGCCAGTGGCCACATGTGGCCTATTAAATTAAAGATTCTGTTTCACGGATCTTTCTCTGAGAACACCAATTATAATTTCTTGCACATTTTCTGCTCTGAATTGTTTTTTTGTTTTTTTTCTACTTGTTTTGGCCTTTTCTCTTTCATAGCGGAGACTTTTCTTCAAACATCTGAAGCTTCTTGTCTAGTTGTTCCTATTTGAGAGGCACCGAGAAGCTCGAGAAAATTTGTGTGAACGAGTGGGGCCTACAGTTTTGGGCTTTACCCTTGGGTGATCTGGTTGCCAACAAGCTGGCTTGATTTTGTGAAGTCTCAAATGTCAGCATGTTTTCTCTGCAGAGTTCCATTTTTCCAAAAAGGGATCCTACAATTTCTACTGGCACATGGAAACGTGGCAGTTTGCTTTTTTTTTTTTTAATGTTTAATTTTGAGAACGAGAGACAGAGCATGAGCAGGGGAAGGGCAGAGAGAGAGGGAGACACAGAATCCGAAGCACACTCCAAGCTGTCAGCACAACCCAGTGCGGGGCTCGAACTCCCGAACTGTGAGATCATGACCTGAGCTGAAGTCAGACGCTTAACCAACTGAGCCACCCAGGTGTCCCCGTGGCAGTTTGCATTTTAAGAGCCGGTTAGGGAAAGTGAGTTGGGGTGAGCCTTTAATTTGATATCTGTCTTTAGATAAATGGATCTTCCCACCTTCTGAAGTGCCTTCTGTTTCTGGGTTTCAAATGAACAGTTACTCTGGTTCTGAAGGCAGGGAGGTGTGAGTTGACTGGTCAGTTGGAAGATAAAGGACCAAGGGTCAAATAATCCTCCTTTTCTTAGCCCTGCCCCATGTAAAGCCTGTGTGATAACTGGTCCCTTCAATTCCTGAGCTTTTCTCATGTTTGTGCAGGTGAAGTTGACTTCTCTTTGGTATTTTCTGCAGACACTTGGGCTTGATCTCTCTTCTGCTGAGTTCTTAAAATTCCTCTGTCTATACTCTGATCGACACAGATATCCTAGTTTTACTGCGGATGGAGTTTGTGTTTTGTTCTGGGGGATAATAATCAAAAGAAGGGGACTGAAAAGTGTATACTTTGCTATCTTTACACATTTGAATTATTGATAGTATAATTTCATCAGGAATGATTCTTAAGTTGTTTCTTTGTCTCAGAAACTCTATAATATTTGGCTGTATCGAATCTATCCAGTCATCTGTCCAGTGAGTCATTATGGCTCACTAAGATGTCCATCCCTTTATAGAGAAATTTCTGTAGGAATCCTTAACTGTACAAGCGAATTAATCCTTTTTATTTAAAATTTAGTCTTCCCAGTCTGGTTTTCTACTTGCCTGTTGTCTTTTTCAGTAAAACTGTCAATGGGATCTATTGCCATGAGCCATTACGATTAAGCTGTTTTTTATAACCGTTTCCTCATTTATTCCAAATTACCTTCCTTGTTAATTCTCAAAGCGTATCCTGAATAATGTCACCTTGTTTTATTTATTTTTATCCTTTCTTTGAGAGCTTAGATTCATTCCAAGTTAGGTGGGATTTTTGTTGACTGGAATTCATGCCCTGAGTACCAACATTTTTTATGCCTTTGTTAATTTTTCCCTTTGCCTCTCTATTAGAGTTTTATTGATATCCTCTTAATATATCCGTGATGTCATTGTGAATAACTTATATTAGCATTAAGAATGACTACTTACCAGCACTTGTCAGCAAACTCTTTGTCAGAGAAAGTTTTATGCAAGACTCAGTGGAGACCAAAGTAGCTTTCTGTTTCTCCAGATTGTCCACTGAAGATGGTACCAAGTATGGGTCTAATAGAAACTAGAGTTTTATAAATTAGATTGTTTTGGTTTGAATTCAACCATTTTCTAGAGGTGGGATGGTTGATTACTTTAAATACACTGTTTTATGGTTTAACTTTCAGGTGCTTTGTAAAGAAAGGGTGTGTAAATGACTATTCAGAGGCTTATTACCAGATGCTTGTTAAACTAATTACTATTTTTTGAAATAATACTGGAATTTTAAAAGTACTTTTTTTTTGGAGCGCCTGGGTGGCTCCGTCTGTTAACCATCCAACTCTTGATTTCAGCTCAGGTCATGATCCCAGGGTCTTGGGATCGAGTCCTGCGTCAGGCTCTGCACTGAGCATGGAACCTACTTAAGATTCTCTCTCCCTCTTGCTCCCTTACTCTTGCACACACACCCACATGCTCTTTCTCTAAAATAAAAATAAGTAAAATGTTTCTAAAAAATAAATTTAAAAGAAAGTACTTTTTTTCTGGCTACATTTGTTCAAGTGCATTTTCATTTCTTGCACTATTCATCTTAGGAAGATTCACTTTTTCTTAGAAATGAGCTAACAAGGTCACTTGAGTTTCATTACGAGAAGCAGACCCAGGAATACAAGACACATTTAATGGAAAAGTGTAGTACATCAAAATAGAAAATGTTATTAAAGAACAGATACTTCCTCAGGGTGCCTGGGTGGCTCAGTTGGTTAAGTGTCTGGCTTTGGCTCAGGTCATGATCTCACAGCTCATGGGTTCGAGCCCCACATCGGGCTCTGCTGACAGCTCAGAGTCTGGAGCCTGCTTTGGATTCTGTGTCTCCCTCTTTCTCTGTCCCCCCCCCCCCACACACTGTCTCACTCTCTCACTGTCTCAAAAATAAATATTAAGAAAAAAAAAACATATTTCCTCAAAAACTATTCAAAAGAATAAGTTAATTGTTTACTTATAATTTATGTTGAGAAGGGAAATGATTTGGCTATTTTCCTTCTTCAAGTAACCCTTTTCCTTTTTACTATTGTAGCCTGCCCAGTCAAGAAGTCATAGTTGGAATGACAAAACATGCCAGAAGTCATCTAATGTTAATAGCATTTGGCATAGGAATTATTGCCCTAGATTTGAACTGAATATTGCTTCAGATGCTATAAGATTGAAGGAAAGTCCAAGTACTGTGGGCATTGAACAAGTGATCAGTGTTAAAGGATTAAATCTTCCAAGGAAGTCATCCATTGTGAAAAGACCAAGAAGTGGTATGTATTTTGCTTGTGGTACATATTGTGAAATATTAGTGAGTGTTGATCACATTTAAGAAATCTTTGCCAAACCCAAGGTCAGTAAGATGTTCTCCTTTATTTTATTTATTTTTTCCTAGAACTTCTATAGTTTTAGGTCTCAGATTTTGGTCTTTGATCCATTTTGAATGAATTTTTTATATGGTGTGAGGTAAGGATCAAGGTTCACTTTTAGTGTATGTGGCAATCCACTTGTTATACCACCATTTGTTAAAAGATTGCCCTCTCCCCATGGAATTACCTTGGCAGATTTGTTGACAATCAGTTGACCTTAACCATATATTTGTGAGTCTGTTTTAGACTCTATTATTCTGTATCATTGGTCTTTTCCCATCTTCATGCCGGAACATTGTCTTAATTACCATAGCTTTATAGTAAATCTTGGAATTAAGTAAAAGAAGTCCTCTAAGTTTGTTCGTGTTTTGCAAAGTTGTGGCTATTCTCTGATTTTCATAGTTCCATACAATTTTTAGAATCAGCTGTCAATTTAAAAATAAATAGGGGCACCTGGGTGGCTCAGTCAGTTGAGTATCCGACTTTGGCTCAGGTAAGATCTTGTGGTTCCTGAGTTTGAGCCCTGAGTCAGGCTCTGAGCTGTCAGCACATAGCTGGACGCTGGGCTCAAACTCAAACTGCGCGATCATGACCTGAGCCAAACTCGGATGCTCAACCAACTGAGCCACCCAGGCACTCCACTATTTTGGATTTTCTGATCTGATTAGTGAAGTCTTTCATTTTTCTTCAGCAGTGTGTTGTAATTTTTAGTGTGTGGGTCTTACAGACATATATTGTCAAATTTATCACTATGTTTCAGATTTTTGATGTTATTGCAAACACTTTTAATTTTGATTTTTAGTTATTCATTGCTAGAAATACAGTTGACTCTTGAACAAGGATTTGGACTGTCCAGTTCCACTTATATGTGGATTTTTTTTTTTTTTTATAAATACAGTGCAGTAAATGTATTTTCTCTTTATGATTTTCTTAACATTTTCTTCTGTCTAGCTTTATTACAGTACAACATATAGCATACAAAATATGTGTTAATTAGCTATGTTATCAGTAAGGCTTTTGGTCAAGAGTAGGCCACTAGTAGTTAAGTTTTCAGGGAGTCCAACGTTATACACAGATTTCTGACTCTGGAGGGGGTCAGTGCCCTTAACTCTCATGTTCAAGGGTCAACTGTACAATTGACTTTTGTGCTTTAATCTCCTGTTTGACAACCTTACTAAATTTATATATTGGTTCATAGTGTCTCTTCTGTAGACTCTGCAGGATTGCTGTATCGATGACCATACTGCCTGCGAATAATGGTAGATTAGTCATGCTTCTCCTTTTCCACTCTAGATGCTGTTTGTTTGTTCATTTGTTTTCCCCTCCTCCTTTTATTTCTTTTTCTTGTCTTCTGGAACCTCCAGTACAATGTGAGTGGCAGTACAATGTGAGAGTGGCATACTAAGTATTGGGCAAAGAAAGGTGTTTCACTTTTCTCCTAGAAGCTGTGTAGAAGTAGAAAGGATAATTGCAATCTGTCCCCTCTCTCTTTTCCTCAGATAGCTACATGAATGAATGAAAGTCTAACAACAAAAATAAAACAAGCCCTTTGTAAATTTAGGTATAGATGATTCATCTTTTGTCAAAATGTATTGATTCCTTCTGCACCTAAATCTTTTCCTGATTATATCTCTGGAGCTTTGTTTCCTTTTCTGAAATGGGAACGATGTTGCCTATTCACAAATTTTTGTATATGTTCTATAGGGTAACCTCTAAAAGCCCCTGGTATGTATCAAGTACAGTATACATGTTAGTTCCTTCCTTCCCTTCTGTTCCCATGAAAATCAGCTATTCATTTTATGTAGGGAGCTTCTTATCTGTAAGTTCTTTATGCTATAACTACCACCTATCACTGGATTTTGTGCCCTGGACACACATCTAAACACAACAACAGAACAGAAAACAGTTAACCCCTTTAAAAAATGCTTTTGAAGGTTTTTGTTTGTTTTTTTGAGAGAGAGACAGAGCATTGAGTGGGGGAGGGGCAGAAAGAGAGGGAGACACAGAATCTGAAGCAGGCTCCAGGCTCTGAGCTATCAGCATAGAGCCTGATGTGGGTCAAACCCATAGACCCACAAGATCATGAGCTGAGCCAGAGCCAGACTCTTAACCGACTGAGCCACCCAAGAGCCCCAAAAGTTTACCCCTTTTAGTCAGCAGCCTGTCATATATTTAGAGACAGCCACTGTGACTCTCCTAAATTTCTTTCCCCAGCTGTTTCTTACCTACCATGTTGTGTTTTGGATACAATGTAGTTTTTAATGATTGCGTGACTATTATAGTCAGTGATTGTTGAAATACAGTCTTCTTACCACAGAGCACAGTAAAAATTAAGAATTATGTCACTATTTCAGCCCTTCACCCAGAGACTATGCTTTAATATTACAAAATAAGATAGCATTAGCTTTTATTAACATTCCTGTCATTTTGCTGCATTTACTGTTTATAATCAGAATCCACTAGTTGTTAAACCAGGTACAGTTATATGTTTAAACTTGAATGTGAAGTAAATTATCTGTATTGAGGCAATCTTCACTATAATCCATTGTTCTGCCTTTATAAAAAAAAATCTTCGGATTGTCTACTTACATATGGGTATTATCTGTGTCACCTGGAAATTAGAGAAGTATGGCTCCCTGTGTTAAAATGTGTTTGCTTGTGTAACATTTGATGGAATCAGCACAAGTAGAGACACTGAGAGAACGTACACTAGGTGCCAGACCGCCGTTCAGCCTGCAGTCTTTGGGGTTCTTCAGTTTGCTGCAATTCCACATAATAGCTAATTTACAGTTATTTTGCTTTGCATTGTCCACCAGGATAATAATGAGACACACTGAGGTGTCCTGCTCAATTCAAAATATGCTAAATCCGTGACATTCCCCCAAATAGCTAGTCTAAAACCTTATCACAAAAGGAAAATGAGGCTAGCCTGGCATGGCTGCTTCTTGGAGAAACCTTGCTGAGGATCCTCAGCTTTTGTTTCCTTCTTCCATAAGGGCTCACAATTCTCTGCATAATAAACAAATGTAGGCTTTTGCCAGGAATCAAAATCAAGTTTGCAAATCTGTGGCTTCTTAAAAATCTATAGGTTTTTAAATTTGAGGCATCATCGTCTCTCTAGTGTTTGGTACCTGCAACCATTTTTCTGACCTTCTAAAGTAGTGAGTACTTATTCCTACGTGAGTGAGGCTGTTCAGACAGAATTAGTTGGACTGATTTAAAGCACCATCTCTGGTGGCCTATGTCAGGCATCAACCTATTGTATTATTTAGTCTTATGATTTATTCTAATGCCATAGAATACATCTGTCACACAGGTTTCTAGGGCCCCATAACTCGGTAATGAGGATCAGAACTGGAGCATAGATTACTTCACAACATGACAGTCACATATACTTCCGAGACTGTAACGTATGGACGGTGTGTAGAAATGGCTGCTGGTTTTATTGGAACATTTTATTTATCTATTTATTTATTTATTTCGTTAGTTAGTTAGTTAGTTAGTTAAAGCACAAGCAGGAGAGGGGCAGAGAGAGAGGGAGACACAGAATCCAAAGCAGGCTCCAGGCTCTGAGCTGTCTTATTGGAACATTTTAAAAGTCAAACAGTAAATCATACATTGGCATGTAAATTGCCTTAATTTCTTTTTTCATTCAAAATCAAGCCTTTGGTATAATAAGTATATAGCCTTACATAATTGATCGTATCCTGAAATTTTGGTTTCAGTAATTTCACATAAAATCATAAAAACAATGGACATTAAATCTTAACTAATTTGTGAAATTGTAAACCACAGCTTAAGGGAATTTCCTTTTTCCTCTAAGTCATTCTTGTATCTCCTTTCGGGATGCACTGTTAAAGAAATAAGACTTCATCCTTAAGACAGTGAGATGTGGGCTGTAACATTAAGGCTGAGTCTGCACACGGCAGGCATAAAGATTTACGGACTGTTTTTGTTTCTGTTTAGAGGAGCTGTCAGAAGACGATCTGTTGAGTCAGTATTCCCTTTCATTCACAAAGAAGACCAAGAAAAGTAACTGTGAAGCTCATAAATCATTGAACTCTGAAATGCTCATGCCTGACCTGGTAGATGGAACTACTGTTAAAAAAAACATAAGCACACCACCTACGACAAGAAATAAATTTGCAGCATTTTTACAGAGAAAAAATGAAGAAAGTGGTGCGGTTGTGGTTCCAGGGACAAGAAGCAGGTACAGTTTATCTACAGGATGTTGTGTGTCTGTTGTATTATCTACTCTGTTGATATTTATTTCAGCTGTCTTAAATAAGCAGTCCATGGAGTAGGCGTGGGCTTGGCTTAATCCCTTGACCATTTGTATCATGTGTAGCTGTAGTCCTGACGTAAATGCACAGCTCTTGTCATGCGGACACAAAATAAGAACTGTCGACTTATTATATTTTGCATTAGAAAAATTCTCTTGTTTTGGAGGGTCCCCTGCTTCTTTGTTTCTACTTTTTTTAAGAGCTAAAAACAATTTGTTAGGGTATTTTTATTATTATTTTGAGCATTTATTTTTTTATTTTTTTAATTTACATCCA